ACTTGCTTCTGGCATTGAGGAAAAATAACTTACTGGTGGCCAACAAGGTCACCACTAGAGATGCCAGCAGCTGCCAGCAACCCAGATCCCTAAGCAAACTCAGAGATGCTCTGACTAAACTACAGAAATTTAAGAAGGACACAGAGCCAAACTTTCCCTTAAAATACATGTTTATTTTTCTTCAGACGTTAAAGGAAAGTACTAGAGAGCCCAGAAGACCGAAAACATCTATTCAGAGGTACAGCAAGGTCAGCAGTAGTGGGAACATTCCTAGCCCAGCAATGTGCTTCAACTCAGAACCATCTCTAGTAGTGAAGGCAGTTCAGATTCCAGGCCTGTTTTTCCACTCTGGTAACTTTCCTGAAATTAATGGAGCTACACTATTATATAACTGATGTGACAGAATAGAGGATTTGGTTCTTCAAGTATCTACTAGAAACATGACAAAGACCCCTCACTCACACTTCATCCACCTCAGAGAGATGGCAATGACTTCCAATCATTACTGTGCTCAGCTGGGTTGAAACCAGAGCCGGACACAAGAGGCTTTATATCAGAGTGTCAACCAATAGCCACATCTTTTGACTCCAACTTTTATTCATGCAGAACTTACACACCAATAATTAATAGTCATGAAAAATGAATTTGCCATTTCCTGATGATCAGTTTACTCAGAGTATTTCTCTTCATAGAACTCATGAAATGCAAAGACACTTTCTGATATATGCATATGCCACACAAGCAACTCTCTATCTCAAACATATTAAATGCACTCCAGAAGTCTTGGGTGGGGGGGGGGGCGGGAGTGGGGGGAGAAAATGATCTTCTACTCTAACATACAGAGACGTGCTACTTCCCACACAAACTTGTAGAAAACCAGGGCATTATTATATTTTTTAAATAAACACACAAGGCCAGACAACACTCAACAAAATAGCCACAAGGACTCAGATTTAAAAATAAAAAAAATCGAGACAGACGCAAGCTAGATTATATCCTTGGAATCGGCACACAAAGGGGCCCCTCTATACACAATCCATGTGGCTCATGGGACAGAACCCAGGTTTTTTCACTGTGAAGTAGGGGAGAGTATGTGCAAATTCTGACCCCCCCAACCCACTGGTCAAACTCCTCCAGTAGAAGAATACAGAGGGAATTCAGATACTCTCCTACATGGAATTTTCTGGTTCCTATATGGGTATTTTCACAAAGGCATCTGATCTGGCCCAATCTCATTGTTGGACAAGATGTTTCTCAGTTTATTGTTATTTTTTTAAGTAGTCGGAGTGAATTATTTGGCGGGGGGGGACGGAAAGAGAGAGAGAGTGTTATGTTCGGTATCCCCTCTTAGAAGAGAAAGCTGCTGGTCTGACCTACCTTAAAATCAAAAGGTGCACTGACAGCCTGGGACTTATGACTTAAAAGGTGACTGCCACCCTCTGCCAGGAACGGTCTCCCTCAGAAATGCACTTATTTTAGCTTGCCTTACTTCATTTATCTCTGCTCTGGGGCTAGTTGCTCCCTTGGTTATATGATTTTAAGATACAACAACAACTAATAAACCAAGCCACACAAGTTAGTAACTAAGGAAGATAACTCTGAACCAGTACAGCTAGTGTGATTTGGTTCGCCCTAGCAACTCCATGGTCTGTCATGTGATTTGTCCACTTGAGATGGTCAGCATTCAGGACAATGCCTATGATTTCCTACTTGTTAGTACAGCACCAGGCAATAATGGAGTGAAAACTGGCCTCCCCAGCCTCAGTTTCCTTGTGAGCGCCACTGAACGCTAGTTAGGCAATCACTAATTAACCACTCTTCTCAAAATGCAGCATGGGGATGCATGGGACTGAGTACAGACAGAGAAATAATGTAACAGAATACCCTAATGGTGCAATGAGCTGTGCCTGTGCAGAATCCCAAGTCCTAGAGCTCATTTCAGGATCAGAACCTAGGGAGGCAAATGATCCATTTATTTTGCCATTTGGTAGGATTTACATGAAACCTGAGGTAGGGAAGCCAGTTCTCTTCTTCAGCCTGAGGTGAAAGGTACTGGCCAGTCACCACAGCCACAATTTTTAAGTGCAGGTCAGTATTGTGCCTTATAGCGGTAAACAACAACATTTCACTTGTCCACATCAGGATTTTGCCTCACCTGCAGGTACAGGAGCCTGAAAATTAGCTGGAATTAGTTTATCAGCTGGACAATACATTTGAGACATAATAAGGTTTCCAGAGATCCTATAGAGACCCTAAATTAGCCCTCCAAAGCCTTAGTGAGCTGAATTATTTAAATTGGTCTCAGATAGAAAGAGGAACATATTCTGCTCTTGGTTATACCAGTGTAAATCCAGTAACTTTATTTGGCTCTGTTCACCCTGCGTACCGCCAGCTTCTGCTGGAAGAAACTGAAGCTTAGGACTCTCATGGCAGAAAGTCTGTTTGGTGCTGGAGTTTGCAATTGCATATGGCAGCCATCACCATAACTCCACCCTTCTACCAAGGTCAAATGCCCCTGCTAGAATAGCCATCCCCACTGGACCAAGAGTGTGCACTTTACACAATCAAAGATGAATCAAGCCCATTTACTTCCATAGTTACTCTGGTGCAACTGTGGACTGATTTTGTCCCAGTACTTCCATTTAGAAACATAAAACTGGACCCATCAGAGTCAAAGATATTTATTTTGAGTAAAAAAAAAACCTGCTCTAGATAAGGAATAAAGTACATTGGATTTTTAGAACACTTGAACGGTCTTTTTAGACATTAGCACATGTAATATTAACTCCGCCCCCCAGAATCCTGCTGCTGTCACCTAGAACTTACACTTCCTTCTCCATTACTTCGGCTGTATTTAAGAAAACACACACACTATCAGGATATGTGCAAGCACCACTGTAATAGGAAGCTTACTACAGAGAATACATTAAACCTCTTGCAAATTTCTATTTTTGTATGGAATATCTGCTAACACCAGCAAGCATATCTGGTCATTGTATGAACTCTTTGGGAATAGCATATTCTTTAAAATTTTCTCCAGTTTCCAGAAGCTGAAGCAAAAAAAAAAGAAGGGGAAGTTCCTCCTCCTACCCACCACCAAAAAAACCCTATATGCTTTTTAAACATACAAACTTCCCTCATATTTCATCTCAGGAATAGGCTTGTGAATGCTCCAATTTCAAGTGAGCCAGCAAGGTGAACACCACACAAAGAAATTAATCCTTAACATTTCTCCACCCTCCCTAAAAATACACCCATTTCAAATCCAACGCCTCTTGTGCAGTTGTGATTTCATAAGTTCTGTGTCCACCGAACCACATGCTGCCAGGAACAGAAACACATTCTAAAAGCAAGATCACACACACTCAAAATCAGAGAGAACCTGAAAACACATCTTTTCAGCGAGAAACAGCTTAAAATGCCTCCAGCAAGTTTAAAGTGTGCGTATATATTTATGTTATAATGGATATACACCGAATGTTTGAGCAAAAATTAGCCAAAGCAGTAAAATGTACTAGTGATGCCTCTTTCATCTGGCGGGAGAAGGAAGATGAAGAGAAAGAGAGGGACAAGAGAATACATGTATAATCAATTTGAACTGCTTAGTGCCCTTCTTCTTAGATGTAGTTTACTAGTGTTGAACACTGAAAACACCACTGCTGGTCAGGTTATGCAATCGACTTGTCACATACACCTTATTCAGCACATGTTGATGTGTGGAGGTGTTTCCTTCTCCAATGGTTTCTTAAAACATTCAGAAAATGATTCCAGGGAGGGTTTGAAGTAATATAAAACACTAATCAAGCTCTTTTCAAAATCACTATATTTAAAATGGAATCAAGCTAACGTTTCACAGGTAACTTTTTTTTTTTTAAAGATTCTACGTCAACCCTCCATTTTGTTGGCTTGCTTAGTTAAAATATTTAGTAAAGTTCAAGGCAGTACTTTCACTCATTTTTAAAGTTTTGGATAGTAACATAAAATGAGATTATTTAAAACAATTATTGTTTTTTAAAAACATTTGAAATCATGAATTCAAATTACTGTTTACTAAATTTGAAAGGGGGGGGGGGGGTCAGAAGCACTTATTGTTCCTGGAAGCAAAAACAAACAAACAAATCAAGAAATTCCCAAAACCACCCTCCAAAGGTTGTTTTATTTAATACACTTAATGTAAACAAACTACCTAATTTTTCACTTGTTTTTAAAATCATGCTTTTTCCCTCCTCACACAAAAGGAAGCCCTACTTTCTCTCTCTGTCCCTCTCCTTTAAAATCTGGGATTTAAGACAGGTGGCTATGTACTTTTTCCAAAGGTGAATTTAAAAACAAAACAAACCCCATACAACCACAAAACAGCTTGCAGTGTTTAAGAGAATCAAAAACGCACAACAGTTAGGAGCTGGTACTTTTTTAAAGCCTAAAAAGTGTCTCACACTGGCAGCTCATCTGTCCCCCCTTTCTTCCCATATGAGGTGAGGAAAGGGACTGAAGACTAGTCAGGGCCACAGAAAGAAACCTTCCAATAAAAAATGAGGGGGGAAATAAAAGGATTGTGGGGAAGATGAGGAGAGAGCATGGAACAATATCATAACCCCATCACTATTAGCAGCTTCCACCACCTTCCCTCACCCCAATCCATTTAGCTACTATCTCCCTCTGCTCCTAGGGCCTACACACTGAAACACACACACACACACCACCAAAAGAACACAAGTCAAGAAAACTACAAAGCAGAACACTGGGGAAGAGGAGCAACCCACCCCGGAGATTTTAAAGATTGCTTGCAAAGAGATCACAGATCGTATCTCCAGCCCACCCTAGAGTGGTGTCCCTATCGCACTGGAGGGAAAGAGGGGGTGACTCTTGTTTGTGGGGGGCTGCCCCTAGGAATCTGGGGAGAAAACTCCCCCAAACCCTTTTGCCAGCCCCCTCTACTTTCTTCCCAACACTTTCCCCCCACTCCCCCGTTTGTTTCCTGGAGAAGGAAAAAAAGTTACCACCAGCTTCTTCTCTACTGGAACTGCTGCCAGACCCAACTTTCTCTCCTTCCAGCCGCTGGGAAGCTCCAGGCTGTTCTTCTTCTTTAAAACTTTATTCTGATCTATTTAAAGGGGGGTGGGGGTGGGGAGGAGAGAGAGGAAACGTTTGGAGCTTTTCTTCCTCTCCCCCCCCCCCCGATGGCTTGAGAAAATGAAGGGGGGGAGAGAAAAAAAAAGCTGCGAAGGGAAAAAGAAAGTTAAAAAGGCTGAGGTTTCCAAAAGGAACCACACAATTACTAATAAATGGCTAGAACAAACAGACACAAGGAGGAGGAGGAGAGAGAGAGTTTTGCTGGTCAGTAAACTTCAAGCTGCTGGGATGAGGTCATTGGTGTAAAAATAAAGAGATGGCGTCATTTGAAACCAATCCCAGTGAATGAACTCAGCCTGGGGGAGGGGGGACAGAGGAGCAGGGTAAGGAGACAGCAGCAGCCACCTCTGGCAAAGCAGCCCCTGCTCCTCTCTTTCCCCCCACAGCAAGAGCTCCAGCCCCCAACTCTGGCTGTGTCCCCCCCTCAGCACATGCTTGAAGTGAACCGAATGCTGGTGTCACGCCAGTGCTGTCTGGCTTTTTTCTCTCGGCTTGAAAGGGGGCGGGATTCACATTTCTTCCCCTTGGACTCCTGTTTGAATACTTTGTTTCTGAGGCAGCCCCTGGGAGGAGCCTGGAGAGCTGCGATACAATGAGGCAGCTATTCAAATGAGTTGCTGCTGCTCTCCCTCCCTCTTTCCCGCCTCCTCTCCTTGCTATCTCTCCTTCCTTCTCTTCTCACTCCTGCTCTCCTCCCCAGCCCCTGCCTTCTGCTTTCTTCTTTCCCTTTGCTTCTCCTGCCTCCTACTGCTCTATCACCTTCTCCCTGCCTCTCCTGTCTCCTTTCTCTTCTCTCTCCTGGGCTTTATCTAGCCCCTTCTCCATCCTCCTCTGTCTCCCTTTCCTGTCTTCTCCCTCACAGGCCCGTTTAAACCAACCCTGCTAAGTCTCAGCTGGGCACCATGTCTACAATATGGAATTTTACCACCAGCCCCAGCCCCAATTCAACTGTACCCTTAACACAAGCAGGAGCCCTTGTTTTATATGCTCACAACACCCCTATAAGGCCGGGGAATGCTATTAAGCCCATCATAGAGATGAGGAATAGAAATACCAAGGGTATGTCTACACTTAAAATGCTGCTGCTGCAACTGTGGTACTGTAGCACTTCAGTATAGGCACTACCTACACTGATGGGAGGGGTTCTCCGGTTGGTAGGGTGACCAGACAGCAAGTGTGAAAAATCAGGACAGGGAGTGGGGGATAATAGGAGCCTATATAAGACAAAGCCCCAAATATTGGGACTGTCCCTATAAAATCAGGACATCTGGTCACCCTACCTGTTGGTGTAAGTAATCCACCTCCCTGAGAGGCAGTAGCTCGGCCAATGGAACAATTCCTCTGTTGACCCTAGTGCTGTCTACAATGGGGGTAAGGTCGGTATAGCTACATTTCTCCAGGGTGTGAACTTTTCACACCCTGGAGAAATGTAGCTATACCGATGTAAGTTCTTAGTGTAGATCAGCCCTAAGTCATTTGCCCAAGGTCACACAGGAAGTCAGTGATGGAGCAAGGAATTGAGCCTAAACACTCCCAAGTCCTAAACCAGTGCCCTAACCGCTGGGCCATGCTCAGGAACCCTAGTCCTGGTCTACACTAGGAAATTAGGACGGTATAACTATATCACTCAGAGGTCTAAAAAATCCACACCCCTGAGCTACGCAGCTAAACTGACCTAGTCCCTGGCGTAGACAGCACTAGATTGACAGGAAAATTCTCCCATTGATCTAGCTACCATCTCTTGGGCAGGTGGATTACCTATGCCAACAAGAGAATCCTTCCTGTCAGCATAGGCAGCGCCTTCACTGAAGCGCTACAGCGGCGCAGCTGTGCTGATGCAGCATGTTAAGTGTAGACAAGCCCCTAGTGTAGACAAGGTGGTGTAGACATTGGTTCAATGGGACTACTCATGAACAAGGATCAAGCCCTAAAAGGAAGAATTAATTACCCCTCCCTTTCTGTTCATTCTTCACATTTTTTTAACTAATTGTTTTATTGTGACACAGGTCCCAAAACAAATTCAAAATAACCTCACGGTACACTGCACACTGTGCTAGAGAAATGAGAACAAATCATAATTGTCCAACCTGGCAATAATCGCTTCAGGTGACTTTTCAAAATGTGTACTTATCAATTTAAAGTGATATTACATCAAATTGTAAGTAAAACAGAAAAATAGCCACAAGGCTCCTGGTCCCTCAGCTGACTTCCCGGTTGAGCACCCTTGTGTCTGCGGGGAGCCCTTTTGACATCATTGCAAGATCAGGGCCAAGATCTTAGAAATACTCTTCTTTAAAGAGAAATTCCTTATTTAAAACAACAACAACAAAAACCTTGAGGAAAAGAAATTGAAAGTTAAGCTGGAACATCTAGATATACTTTTTATATCACACAAAGTAATTATACATCACACCTCTGCTATAAGAACAGATGCAAAACCTGCAGACTTATCTCCCCTGCTATGATGATCAAAACCCCCACAAGACAGCTTTCAAGATCCAAGGGTCCTACACATACCTATCACCACGTGTGGTGTACCTCATCCAGTGCACTAAATGCCCCAATAACAACTATGTGGGTGAAACCAGACAATCACTATGCTCTCAAGTGAACTCATACAGAAAAATAATAAAAGACAAAAACACTCTATTACTTGTGGGCGGACACTTTTCACAAAACAATCATTCCATATCTGACCTCTGAGTCCTCGTCCTCAAATGAAACCTGTGCAACAGATTCAAAAGATAAGCCTGGGAACTTAAATTCATAACTCTGCTAGACACCAAAAATCATGGCCTTAATAAAGACACTGGATTTACAGTTTATTACAACAATTTGTAACCCAATAACCCTCCTCTGTCCTACTACAGTAGAGATGTTAACTGGTCATTTCACCTTTGAATGGTCTCTTGCAACATTGATTAGATTAGATAAATTCATGGAGAGGAGGTCCATCAATGGCTATAAGACAAGATGGTCAGGGATGCTACCCCATTCTCTGGTTGTTCCTGAACCTCTGACTGCCAGAAGCTGGGACTGGATGACAAGGGATGTACCACCAGGTAATTGCCCTGTTCTCTTTATTCTCTCTGAAGCATCTCGCGCTGGCCTCTGTTGGAAGACAGGACATTGGGCTAGATGGACGATTGTTCTGACCCAGTATGGCCATCCTTATGTTCTTAAAAAGAATCCATAGTAGTGCCAGATTTATCTTCTATTATACTGAAGCAACAGCTTTGTATGGTCAAGGCTGAACAGCAGGTTCTGTTTAGAGGTAGATACTTCTAAGTACTCTAAAATCTGCATGCTTACTTGGATTGTCTTGAAACTTTCGGTGTCTCTTAGGGGTGCTTAGTAGTGTTAGTAGTCCAAACTTGGGGGGTCATTTGAGCAAGGTGCTCCTGCGATAAACCCCCTGAAAGAACAGCATTTTACAAAAACTATTGGTTCTTATAAGTTATAATGCTCTTTTTGCACACATTGTCCCCCAATTGATCTCAGTTGCTTGACATTTATCTCACTAGTGCATGCCACTGCCCCTTTGGGGAAGCAATATTGAAAATGTTATTGACCATAGAATTTGGCTCTTGAGAACAGTACATGCTAAAATTCATGAACCAGAGAGACTGAATGTACATGTGCAGCAAGACGACAAGATATAGCCTGAATGTTGCTACTATCTGTTTCTGTTAAGGGTTTGGGGCTTTTAAAAAAAAATATTTTATTTTAAAAAATGTGCCTTGATAATTTGCACAACAAATTTAGAAGGGGCTCTATTTTCTGAAAGATAATAAATAACACCTGCGCTACACAGATATTTGAGAATCATTGCTGGGCATGTTGCTACTTTCCACCTGGTGCATTATTGTAGCAGAGTGCCAACATTGATTAATCAATTGAGCACTGATTAACTAGAGGGTAGATAAAAGACAGTTAGGATAAATGCAATCATGTTTCCTGAACAATGTAACTGAGTCAGGGGGTTCCTGATATGCAGTCCCCTTAACATGAGATGCTCATAACCTTTTTAAATTCTTATACCTTTTTTGGGGCCAAGCTAGGGAACATGGAAGTGCCAGAGCAGCACTGGGTGTCTGAGGGACCAGTGCTGAGAGTATGAGGGTTGGGAGAGAGCAGGGAGAGGAGGGGGGCATTGGGAGTGGGGGAGTGGCAAGGAATAAGGGGAGAGGGATTCGGGATTGCAGAGAAAGGAAGGGGATTAGGGAGAGAAGAATAAATTGGAAAGGGTGATGAGGGAGAGGAGTTGGGGGAGCTCAGGCCAGGGGATGAGGGGAAGTGGGAGGGATAGAATGGGGGTGGTAGCAAGGGTGGTGAGTGGGATTAGGAACACCACTATGGCCCCTCTAAGCTTACCAGGGGCATGGAGTGGCAAGGAGAGTGGAGTTGGGGGATGGGTGGGTTCGGAGCTGGAGTGTGTAGCAAGGCTTAACGCACTCAGGATGTGGGAGTGGGACTTGTAGCAGCAGTTTGTGCGTGAGGGGCTCAGAGAAATGGACATGTTGGAGGAGTTGGAGCAGTGACAGGGGTTTCTGAGCTGTTGGGGGCAAATAGGGTTTGTAGCAGTGTGGGGCAGGGAGTGTTGGAACAGTGCAGGGAAGAGTGGGGTGGAAAGGAAGTGGTCAGAGCTGTGCGGCGATGTTGGAGGGGCTTCAGATCTGTCCCCCCCAGGTCTCACGTATCCAACCATCAACCAATGACAGCTACTCCTTTTTTCTATGGCGGCTTGCCCCAAGTGCCATAGAAGCTGAACACCTGACTCTGTAGTGTATTTATCCTCACATCACCCCTGTAAGGTGAAGTGCCATCATCCCCATAGGTCACAGAGGAAGTCTGTTGCAGATCAGGGAGTTTAACCCAGGTTTTCCAAGCCCCAGGTCCTACCTACTGGGTCATTCTTCTTCTCATGCCCCTGTGATGTCTGCCCCCACCCACTTCAAAAACTGTGCCCACTGACTCCATGCTACTCCCTGCACAATTCCTGCAGCCTCTCCTCCACTCCTCTGTCTGTGGATGCCACATTGACACTTGCCTGTCAGTGAGGAGGACCGCTGGGGGTGGGGGAGAACCAGGCTGTGCCTGATAGGTAGAGACATGGGAGACAAGAAGATAATGCAGGGTGGTGAAGGGACTAACGTGCAGCCAGTTCATTCTGTGGCCAGGGTAATCATTGCCAAGGAGCCAGAGGCCATGGAGCGGGAGAGCTGGGCTGTGGTAAATGGGGATGCTGAGAGAGAATTTTTTAGAAAACAAGGAAATTAAATGCCCCAAAACTGTTAACACAGAGTTAAAGTTGCCCAGTGGTGCCTGGTGCCCTTCCAGAATGTAGAAAGTGACTAAACTTAAACCTCTGAAAACCAGGAAATACAAAGTTAAGTTACACGCCACCTCCAGAACACAACTTTAACTCTGCCCTCTTTGAGCAATGCCCCAACA